ATACTGACGCTGGCTCCATGACTGTGCTCCTCTCAGTATCAGTGGCAGCTAGGGTGAGAGATCATCAGGGGCCTTTCAGCTCCTAGGCAGAACACTTAGTTAATTAATTAAAGTGAAGTTTGCTGCAATAAGTCACAAACATTAAAATACTAAGAATGCTACAGGTGAAAGAATCTATCCATGAAAGAGTTTGGAAGTGACAAGATAAGGTAGCAAGTATGAGGCGTGGAGTAGTCTTATAGTTAAACCAGGGATCGGCAACCTTTGGCACGCGGCCTGCCAGGGTAAGCACCCTGGCGGGCCGAGCCGGTTTGTTTACCTGGCGCGTCCACAAGTTCGGCTGATCGCGGCTCCGACCGGCCGCGGTTCGCCATCCCAGGTCAATGGGGGCTGCGGGAAGCCGAACCTGCGGACGCGCCAGGTAAACAAACTGGCCCGGCCCGCCAGGGTGCTTACTCTGGCGGGCCGCGTGCCAAAGGTTGCCGATCCCTAGTTTAAACATTCTCCGTACATCAGAAATTCCCTTAGCCCTGTTCCCAAAGCCTGACTGCCACAAACACAACGTTTCAGTATGCAATCTAGAAAGAAAGCTTCAAAAGACTTAAAATAGCAACAGGTGCATATGTTTAAGTGTGTAAACGAGGGGGCCAGAGACATGAGAGGCTGAAAAGGGTCATTTTAAAATTAATTATAACTTCAGTATCATTTCATGAAATGACTTGAAATGTGGGGGAGTTGGGGGGACACCCCCCCCATCCTAACAGCAATCAGAAAAAGTGCTGCTGAAAATCTTTTTATTTTCCTAAACTAACATGGGGTGAAGATTGGGCTTGTAATGGAACTGAAACAGGGTCAGCTGCACTCCCTCATGGGCAGAGGCCACTCTGCAGCACCCTGCCACTGCTCCCCCTGCTTCAGCGACCTCTTAAACACCACACACCTAGTTCAAAGGCAACTTAAAATATTCCCCTCCTGGTCCTTACACAGTCGGGCCTTCCAACCCCCAAGCTCAGTGTGTCTCTCTCTCCCTCCTTCCTAGAGCTGGGCTCCAGTTCAAAGTCTCTTCCAGTAGGAGTTTAGCCCTCTAGGTCCCAGCCCCTATTCATTGTCTCTCTCCTTTTAGTTAGGGAGGACCCAGCCCTTTTCCCCACAGCTGGGTCCCAGTTCAGTCACTATACCCAGGCTTTCTATGACTGTAGCTCAGCCTTGTGTCAGGATCTTCTTGCTGCCTTAGCAGGCTACTCCCAGCCCTCCTAGCTGGGCCAACTCCCCCAGTGTTCGGGTCTTCCTTACAGCAACCTTGCTTGAATTTCCTCAGTCTTGTCCATGGCTTTCTTCCTGCTGCTTGCGGGTAGAATCATCTGATTCAACCCAGTTGTGTCTCTGAAGTAATCAGGATTGGCTAGCCCCAGGCTTCCCAGCCAAAGGGGTGAGCCACCCTGTTACAGGAACCCTGGCTGCTGTGGTGCAAATAGAAATAATTTCTTGCTGGTACTGCACTCATGGGAGGGACATGGGGGGGGGCACGTGACCTCCCCACATGACCCTCCATGTGTCTCCTCTCTGCCCTGTCCACAGCCCGGGGCCCCCACGCTCTCCCCGTCCCCTCTGATATCCCCCTTTGTATATACAAACATCAACATGCTTAACTACTCACTTTCCCCCACATATGTAGTATTCCATTTGTTTATATGGAATATGGGAGTTGGGTGAGGAGCTATTTCAGCATATGTATGACTTATTAAAAGACAAATTTTAAGTAGAACTGTATCCTAAACTGCTTTATGGTATTGTACCCATAGATTGCATTTCAATGGGGGATTCAACTTCCTTTATGAGAACAGAACAGACTCCTGAAACTCTTACCACAAAAGTGGTCCATACTCATGCAAATAGTCCCATTGTCTTCAGTGGGATTGAGCAAATGATTAAGGGTTTTCAGGATTAGGTTCCAAGTTTGTAAATTGTTCTGGATGAAACTGACAATGCCTGAGCTGTCAAATCAGAAGGAGCTTCATTTGAATAAAGGTGGACAGATGTGTGATAAGTCTTAGCTCCGTTGCTAAGATGAGGAACATATTTTCAGCAAAGTTCTTGGCAGATTCCTGAAGCAGCTGGTTTAAAGCCATCAGTGTCCGGCATTATAATCTTCACTTATAGTTCTCTCACCCACAAAGCTGGAAAATGAGGCATGTGTTTTCTTTGTTTGCTGCTCCAGTTCCAGTTAACAAAATGTATGTTAGACTAGTTTGGCTGCAAAGAAGAATTCTATCTGCACTGGGGACAACACCTGATTCCCATCAGGCTGCAGAACTGGGCTGACATCAGAATCCAAACATCCTCTGGTCAGTGCAAGCAGAGGCAGTCCTCTAATGATTTGGACTTGATGTGATGCAGTATGAATGTCATGGATAATTCAGACCAAGGGGGAGAAACAGAATCAAAAACATTGTTTAAATACCTTCTGTCCCCCCCCCACACACACCTCCCCTCTTGAGGACTCCTGACCAATGTAACAGCACAATAAATATGCTAACAAAATTAAACAAAGCCTTTGTTTAAGTTTGTTAGCATATGTATTGTGCTGTTAAAGCCATATAAAGAATTAATGCCCTCCCTAGCCTTTAAGGAGCAGAGCGCAGCCAGCCCCTGCAGAGGGGAAGGGGCTAGCTCCAAGTTTTTCCAGTACCCCATACCTGCTAAAAATTTCTTGCCAGTACTGCGTACACCCTACTTGCACTCCTGCGCTGAGACCTTAACTACAGAGGCAGCTGCCTCTCCATCACCTGTAGATGGGAGGGGATTGTGCATGAGAGGGGCTTGCCAGCTAGAGAAGTGGACACTGAAGGGGTAGTGGCAGCTGCATGGGAGGCATTGGCAGCTCTCTTACGGTATGTCTACACTGTAATTAAAAACCCATGGCTGGCCCGTGCCAGCTGACTCAGGCTCAGGCTAAGAGACTGTTTAATTGTAGCTTAGCAGGAGCTCTGGGACTCTCTCACCTCATTGGGTCCTAGAGCCCAGGCCCCTGCCTGAGCTCGAATGTCTAAACCACAATTGAATAGTCTCTGAGCCCCAGTCAGCTGGCATGGGCCAGCCATGAGTTTTTAATTACAGTGTAGACATACCCATGAGGGCTTGTCTGCACTGGAGAGATCAGTCAGTGGTAAAGCAATTGATTGTCCCACCACCACGTTAGTATGAGTGTCCACACTCAGGCTACCTTAAACTGGTTCAGGTGAGGCAGTTTGACAGATGATGGCTCCCTTAGTGTGTTGGCTGATGGTCCCCTTTTACACCCCCCCAGCCATGTCTCCTTCATCCCAAACCCCCATAGTAGGAGGGGATCACAAGCTCCCAGTGGGCCACCTTCCCATCCCCCTCTATTTCAGGAACTCCCTGCAACTCCCCTTTATCTCCCCCCTGCTAGGGGCTCTGTGTGCCCCCATGCTAGCATCCTCCAGTCTCCCCCCAT